TACAAAGCCCAAAGTGTTTCCTGTCTGGTCCTTCCCAGAAAATGTTTGCTGGGATTTGGCTTAGAATAGCCATTCTCAACACTTTTGGATTCCAGATCTTTGACACTCTTAAAAGTTATTTGAAGACTCTAAAGAGGTTTGATTATGTGGGCTGTATTGATCAATATTAAACACTGGAAATTTAACTAGGTTTAGTTTTTAAAAAAATATTAAAACTTGTTAACACAAATAACATTTTTATAAAAAATAACTCTCCCCTACCAAAACAAAACAAAACAAAACAAACAAACAAAAAAACATTAGTGAGTTGCAAGTTTATTTAATTCCTGGCTTAACAGGAGACAGTTATTTTCTCATTTATGTCTATGCTCAATTTGTATCATGTGTTTTGGTTGAAAGATATGAGGAAAGCCAACCTACCACAGAACTGTAGGATGATTTTGGTAGCCTCTTCAGTCAATTGTGGATATATTTTTCTATTACAGCAAAACACGGCACATGGCAGGACAAGCTGCAGTGTAGAGTTGGAAAACATCAATAAACTTATTGTATTGGAACTTTAAATCTATCTTGTGCTTTATATGAATTTATTCATTAATGATTTTCTAATGTATTACTAGAAAATAGAAAATGTAAGTTCACTGAGTTATACAGGTCTTCCAAATATTGCCGCAGTATCAAAAAAAAAAAAAAAAAAAAGTCACATTGGTTAGTACCACCACTGATTTTCTCAGAAAAGCCTGTGAGTTTTGGAACGCTGATAGAACCAGGCAAAGTGGAGACTCATTTGCCTATATTTTGCATTTGTTTTGGTTAACTTGGTGCATACCATGCAAAGAGAGGGCCATTTCTGGTGGATGCAAACTTTATAAAATTTTTGCTTGGAAGCTCACGTTTTATCATTAGCAACACATACTGTTAGTTTCTTTGAAGTTACAGACTCATTTCATTCATGTTCAAGGAAATGTCTGTCAAATGCACAATTACTAAGGTTTAGCATTCATTTGCTCTTTTGAAGTAAAAATAGCACCCGTGAAAAAAGTGACTAGCTAGTTCACAACTGAAATCATTACACAAATGTTTCTTGAGCTAGCCTTTGCTTTGTTCCCAGCAATAGTACTTTATGTGTACTTTCCATTTTATCACAGAGAATATTAAAAATAAGTTAATAGTCCATTAATTTTTGATTTTCATTATTCCATTAAGGATAATCTACAGCAACCCTTTTCCTCCTCCCTCCCACCTGCGCTACCCCTCCTGTAGTACTGGGAAGTGAACCATGAATAGCTTCAGTTCAGTGCCACTGTATTAATTCATGCTGAGGTGCCAGTGGTCTCACTTACTATGGTGCACATACTGACAGTGCAAAAGCCAGATAACATCTCACTATATTTCTAGAAATAATTTGACCTCAAGAAGCCCTCTAGAAAGGTCTTGGGGACTACCACACCTTCAGAAGCACTAGTATATAAGGTATAAATACTATTTCATGTAAGCAGATTTATGCCATTTAGCTATATGTTGCTTCCTTCATATTCTTACAGATAGGATTTATGAAGATTCAAGTAAAGTTAACAGATGTCAGTCTGCCCTTGCATTGGAAAATATAGCTAATGAATCTTTCAAATTGAACTTTCAAGAAAAAATTTGTGATAATTTATTTTTTTGTGTTATTTTATTGCTATTTAAAAATGCAACTTTATAGTACTTTCACCTTGTGAAAAAATCTGCAGTTGGATTTCTGATTATAGTTGTTGTCTTGTGAAGTGATAGCCTCTTAATATAATTCTTAAAGAGGTTATTTGTGATGACATTTAATTAAAAGTTTTCATATTCTTGAACACCTCCCCCAATTGAGAAGGGAATGTGCTTGGAAATTTCTCAATTTCTTATTTGTATTCATTAACTGTGTGTGTTCACATTAATAAAAAATATGCAAATGACTATGTCACTGGACAGAATGAAATAAATTCTTGAATTACTGAAAACGCAGACCACTTCCTGTTCCAGATACTTGCATTTCTCTGGTTGGCCACTAGATGTCATGAGTGGCACAGGAGCATTGAGGGTTAGTCAGGGACAGTAGAAATTGAGCATTGAAAGCTCATACACCTTCTCGTAGTTCACTGTTTCCACGTGATCAATGCCAGAAGAACCTGATACAGTGTGATATATAGAAGCAAGGTACAACTGGAATAATGAAATTTCAAAAATAAGCCTTTTAAAAGGAGGATTGTAATAGTTCTGTTGGGTATTGTAAATGCTTCAGGTGTACTTGATACAGCTGTTATGTTCCTGGCTTTGGGTCTTTCTCTTTTTTATGGAAAGATGGATTGAACTTCAATTTAAGAATATTCAGTAATCCCTCTCAGGACATACTGTAACAGCTGGTATTTTTGTATTGTAGTAAATCGATTCCATACAACAGTCAGTAATAATTATGGCTGGGTTCTGACAAATTCCAAAGCATTTTCAATAAATTTAGCCAAAGAAAATAACGTTGTTACACAAAAATTTAACTCAATTTGAAAGTTAAACCCAGCATCACAACTTTGTTCTACAAAATGTTAAGTATTTTGCTGATTAGGATTCTATCAAACCATTTTAAAAATCTACATGTATGTTCTGAGAAGATAATTACTTGGCAGAATGTATACTTAGATGATATTTATAGTGTAGTAAATACACAGATTTGGAAAAATTTACCCTGAATGTTCATTATGAAAAAAATGAGAGAGATTAAATTCTTTTACATGTGGCAATATCTGCTCAAACAGATGTTTTGGTGTGGATTTTAAGGTTTTCTTTAGTATTAATGCAATGAAATGTTCCCCACTGTTCACATTTTAATTGTTTGATAAAAGCACGTTAATTTAAATGATATATATGGATTATAAAAGCAAAATATTATAAATTCTTTAAACCATAAGGAAACTGTAGGTTGCATAGTATTGATTGTATATTATATATCCATTTCTATACTTACAGTGGCAATCTATACCATACAAATTATGACTTTTCTCAAGGCATAAAGAGCTTAAATTAGACACACATGCACATATAACAAATGCCTGCCAATGTACATACATACATATTGCTCTAATGATAGAAATGTATGTGCATATGCTTTTCAAATTTTAACTGTTTTTAATTTCTTTTTCCTTTGAGCAAATAAAAGTCCATTAATTGATTGCTGTCTTTAAATTATATGTAGTCTATTTTGGACTTGCTTTGTGTATGAATTATTTCATTTCTACCCTTGCTTTATATAAGGAATATTTTCATGTAGTTGAATCTTAGTCCTGATTGGAATAATTTATGCAACCAAAGCAAAGTTGCTTTTTAAAATCATTGGGAAAATATCTTCTGAGCTGAGCATTAATGAAACTTTGCTTTGTCTTTTTTCTCTCATTTAAAATTTTTAGTTTAGTGATTTATATTTTCATTTGGTATTTAAAATAATTGCCCTCATATTTTTAATCAGCACTCATCTTTGTATGAATTTGTGCATTTTTAACTACACGAACCTTTGTTATATGAAGCAGATTTCAAGACATCACAACAGATAGTTTAGTCTAAGAAAGACTATTTGGTGAATTTTTTATACTAAGTTTCACTTTGACGATTAAAAAGTTAATTTGGAAGGCTTTAATGGGATTTTTACAGTTGGATTTTTTTCAAGTAAAATTTGGCAAACTCTTCTTTATTCTGTAATATGAATCAGCAACTTTAAAAGGTTTTAGGAATTAAAGTGAGCTACTTTTTCCAGTGTTTACAGTGTCTGTTTTTCCTGTTGTCCTTATATATGTTAAAATATGCTTTCAAATGACTGACTTTGTTATAGAGATTTGGGGCAAAAGCATTTGAAAATGAACATAAGTGCATTGTGTAGTTCTGAGTTCTACAAAAGTGTAAATGGAGTGTATTTTCCATTATTAGGCAGCAGTGATCCAAATTTAAACCACATGTCCTCCTTCTAGGTGTTAGGTCAGTGTAAGTTTTAATCTTGCTACTTTCTTTTATGTTTGAATTTTATAATTAGATTACCTGAATTTTAAAAAAGCCCTGGTCATATTACATTTATTGTTTGTTTATAGTGTATGAAACACTATATTGTATGTCTTAGCATATTTAATTATCAACAGTTCTGCATTATCGTCTTCATTTGTAAGGAAATTAAGCCTTATTTAATAAGATTAAAAACTTGTGCAAAATCACAGAGCTAGCAGGATTAGAGATTAAACCAAACTCTAGAGCCCTGGTGCTCAGCTGTTATGCTATATTGCCTATACTGCCTATTTTGGGATAAACTTAGGATAGTTACTGGGAAAAAAAAAAAAGTTGACATTTTCCAAGATACATCAAAGCCTAGTTTTTACTAAAAGAATTTACTTATTAGCTTGGATCATTAAGTTTAGTTTAAATTACTAACACTCTGGAAATCTGTAATAATTTCTTGCTTCAATTTTAGTAAAAAAAAAAAAAAGCCTTTCAAGGTTCTTCGCAAGACTTCAGTTAGAAAACTTTGTAGTCATCATATTAGAATGAGCTTTTTAAAAAATATAATTAGTTATAGGTTGCTGACAATTCATATGGTCTTGGTTATACGTTTAAGAATTATAGCTTGAATTATGATAACAGAGGAAAGGAATTTTAGAATGGCATCGACTTACAGAAGCTTCTTAAAGTTCTCCATCTGTCCCATCAGCGGCCCCCAGACCAAATGTAAAAATCTTTAAGGAAGCCTTGGTACGTGCGTGAAGCCCATTCCTGTTTTCAATTAGAAATTGCACATCAGAATCAGAAGCTTTCTTACTGAATATCTGCATGTTGTCTGTAGAAGAAATTCTGTTAGAATTCTTGTGATCTCGTTGGTAGTGTGTGGTAACAAGAATTTAGAATTAGTTGTTGAATGTTGCCTTTTAATGATATTCTTTTTTTTTTTTTAATATCTAAACGTTTCTTTTCTTTCTAGAAAGGGCTCACAAACATATAAATCCTGGGCAACAGCGTGGCTGCAGGCGGTTGAACTGGAGCTCCCCGTGGCTTTCTGAGGCGTAAGTGTGTGGAGGGTTCCCTCACCCGCAGCCTGCATCATGCCAGCTCTGTCCACAGGATCTGCTAGTGACACAGGTATGCCAAGCCAAGAGGGGCCGATTTCCTTCCACCCCTACTCCAGTCTTGTTTGGGCTGAGAGGCAGCATTTCTGTAAGAAAGCACCAACAGCTCATGCCTGTTTCTTTGTGACCAACACGAGGGGCATGAAACCAACCTAGACGTGTCCTTGGTAGAAAAGTTACCGGAGGCCTCTCTCTGGCTGCTCCTCTATCCAGGTCGTGGTGTCCTGTGGTGCTCTGTGTCGGTGTTCTCACATTGTCTTGCTTTTGGAGTAGTGCTGTGTGTTTGCTTTTTAAAAATGAGGTATTTTAAATAAACAGAAAATTCTGGCAAATTCCATGATATCTACCTGTGTTGCCCTCCACACAGATTTAACAACAGACATAAACTTTTTGCCGCCTTTGCTTCAGACCTCTCACTTTATTTTTTCTTTAAAGAAGAAAACATCCTCCCTATTCCATTCCTCTATTTTCTTCCAGACGTGATGCCTATCTCTAAATTGATAGAGGTCATTGAGGGATTCAGTTAAAACTCAAACACATTTCATCTTTTCACTTCTAAGATTTAGAGATGCAGAGTGAATGTTTCCAAGAAAAGAAAAAATATCCCATATGTGAATGTAAAATTGCCCCTTTCTGATCTAATTTAGGGATTGCAGTGGGGGTGGCAGATGCCCCTTGAAGGTCCTTCTGGTATTCCTCAGATATGGTGATTTTTCCCCTGGATGCCTATAAGGATGTGTGTCTGGGAGACCAGGGCATTCTCAGGGCTAGAGTGTTTGCTTAGCATGTGTGAGAGACACTGGGTTAGATCCTCAGTATCCTCCCCGCCTCTCAACCCCATAACCAAAAAAAAAAAAAAAAAAAAAAAAAGTGCACATGGTTGAAGGCTCTGCTTTGCATTTTGAAGACCCCTTGAAAGAAGTGGTGGCATACTGTGACTAAAAAAATTTCCTCTCTGTCACACTGGCTGTGCTGAATTTGGTCCTACTGGTCCTATTTTCCAACCAGCTGACATAGCTATTTCAGCCTATACCATTCCAATCATCTGCTCTTTATCTTCAGAAACAGCTGAGTTACAAATGTAATTTTGTGTTGTTATTATGTTACATTGGCATTTTTATTTGCACAGTTTGCAGATATCATTCTTTGCTATTTTCTGGCATTTCCATACTAACAGTTTGGAAAGTTTTGTCTCATCTTTATCTATCAAGAATTCCCCTCCCCCCCAGATAGATTTACACTAGCTTTTGTCAGGAAGAAATTTTGATTGTTAAGTTATATAAAATATTTCTTTGTCAAGATATTAATTTGGAAAACAGCTCCTTTGGAATTTTTTCCTCTTTTTAGTTATTATATATTCTCACATTTGTGTTCTTCTATATAAAAATGAATGATTTAAACTTTCCATAGTGGTTTCAGAATTATAGATAAAATTTATTTGAACCATAAATTTACTATAGTTGTGTTTTATGCCCTGCTTTTCATCAAAAAAGGTGTTATTTTAACTGAATGCAAAGTGGTTTTGCTTACATATAACTCAAAACATGATTAAAAAGGTGTATTTATGGTTTATTGGGCAGTTTAGGTGTCAGTCATGAAAAATGGCACAGGCTACTTAGTATTTACAAAGAGCTTTTCCACACATACCATCTCACTTAGTGCGTATCTAAAGTACCATCCGATTGACATTCTGCTTTATGGTATTTTTTGATCTATGTCCCAGTTGGGTTGGAATCAGGCACAGAAGACACTGTTCCAAGGTTAGTGCACTTAAGAGAGCGCCTAAGTGTGGTATTCTCATCAGATGTTTGTAGTTCCCTTATAGGTCCTCCCTGTCCAGATGCATTTGGCCATCTGGGGTCATTTTTACCATAAGCCCTGTTGCTTAGCAATATGGTTGATGTTGACCCCTCATCAGGTCTCCAGCAGAACAGAGTATAACTGACGGAATGGCACCCAACGGACAGCATGCCCCAACCTCTCAGTACTTATTTGGGAAGATGCTTTCGATGTAACACTTTTACCATTCACTCCTCAGTCTTCCCCTTCCTACTTATTTCACTAAGAAGAAAGAATTAATTATACAAGTTCAACATGGTAACAACTACCTTTCCCCAGTCTCTTTGTCATTTTGATAGAAGCTTCCAAGAATTTTCTATGCATTAAACACTTACATTGTTTGGATGTGGCTCAGTGGTAGAGCACACGTTAGCATGCAGAAAGCCCTGCATTTGATCCCCAGCACCAGAAAACCACAAACTAACAAAAAATTAATCAGATATGAGTGTACATAAATACATTGTTTTGAATTTTTTTAAAGTCATGGATTTTTTATATGCTATGGCTTGTTATTTTCTGTATCAAGCAGTATGTCTTGGAGAGGTACTTCCATGGTATATAGTCACTATAAAAGTGTGTGTGTTTATGTATATTTATCTATATATCTATTCCTATACACATCTATATATCTACCTCATTCTTTTGAACTAGTTCATAGTTTCTCATACTATCACAAGGTAGTGGACCATACTATTATTAATGAAACCCTGGTTCTGCTTCTTTTGTAAATATTTTGGGAGAAAAGATGTGCACACTTAACGATACCATCAAACCGTCCTCCAGACTAGTTAAACCAGTTAATGATTTATGGACACTGCATTAAAGTTCCTTTCTCCCATATTCTTGCTGATATTCAGCATATTTAGCCTCTATAATTTTTACCACCTAATGGTAAAAACAGTATTTTAAGTGTTAAAGGTGCATTACTACTGACATTGAGGATTTTAGCAAATGAAAATACCTGTTCATTCCTCTGTGATTGTTATGATTTGGATGTGAGATATCCCCCAAAGGCTCATGTATAAAACAATGCAACAACATTCAGAGGCAAAATGATTAGGTTATGAGAGCCTTAACCCAATCAGTGAATTAATCCCCTGAATGGATTAACTAAGTGGTAAGTGATGTTGGGTAGGATGTGGCTGGAAGATGTGGGTCACTGTGGGGGGGAGCATGTCTTTTTTTATATATATATATATATTTTAAAATATTTTATTAGTTGTTGATGGACCTTCATTTATTTATATGTGGTGCTGAGAATTGAATCCAGTGCCTCACACATGCTTGGCAAGCACCCTACCACTGAGCCCTAGGTTATATATTTTGTATATGGCAAGCGGTCTCTTTCTCCTTCCTGATCATTATATGAGCCGCTTCACTCTGCCACACTCTTCCACCATGATGTTCTGCCTCACCTTAAGCTCCAAGGAATGGAACCAGCTTTGTGTGGACTGAGGTCTCTGAAACCATGAGCCTCCCAAAAAACTTTTCCTCTTCCAAAATTGTTTTGGTCAGGACTTTTTAGTCACAGCATCAAAAAAGCTGACCTAAATGGTGATTTAGGTATTCAAATCCTTTTACCATCTTGGTATTGGCTTATCATTTTCTAATTTATTGGCAGAATTTCTTCACTTTTATTTTACATATTCTTTGGTTCTTAGAGACGGTACACCATTTCTTCTGGTCAAATGTTTGTCCTTTTTGCCCCTGAAATAGTATAATTTCTTTCATAGAGTTGAAAATTTTAATGTAGTAAAGTCAATCTTTAGTTTTTTTTTTATTCTTTTGCCTAGGTAGGCCTTTGCTGTCCAAAGATCATATACATATTCTTCTAATAATTTGAACCCAGTGCCTCACACATGCTAGGCAAGCACCCTACCATGGAGCCACAGCCACAGCCCTAGGTTATATATTTTGTATATGGCAAGTGGTTTTTATACATTTGGAATTTTAATCCAACTGCATAGAGGCAATTATTTAATATAATGTTAGTCTAATTTTATTTTCTCATGGATTGTCAGTAGTGCCAGCATTTCATTCTTTCCACATAAATTTGTAGTAGCTCCTCTATCACATATCAACATCACGTTCGATCTGGGTTCTCTTTCTTGACTATAATGGTCCACTGATTTTATCTTAAGACATCTTTTCTTGGCTTTGCTAATGCATTATAGTTATAGGTAATAGTGGGGTTCATTGTGATGTATTCATACATGCATATAATATAATGTGCTCCATTTTTCCCCTGGTATCTCCCTTTTCCCTCTCCTTCCCTCCACTTATCCCTGTAGAGTCAAAGAAGGGATTCAAAGAGGGAGGGAGGAGGAATGGAAAGGGGGAGAAAGAGTAGAATTGACTAAATTATGCTTGTACATGTGTGAATATATTATAAGGAATCCCACTTTTTATGTACAGTTAATAAGTAAATTTAATAAGTAAAGAAATAGAAGGCCAGTATCTTAAGAAATTTTTAATAAACCAATTTTGTAGTAATTTTAGAGTTATAGAAAATTTACAAAGATAGTATAGAAATTTCCACATCTATATAATGAACATTTCTATGTGTGATCAGCTATAGCTATATCAAGTTAATATAAGTTCTGACTGAAGTTTCCAACTCTGATCTTCTAGCAAATGGATCATTCTAGCCTTTTTCTCTTGCTTGTCTGTAAATTCTTTCTGTAGCAGTTAAAAAACTTGCCCCTCCTATCCATGACAAGTCTATTTAATCTTAAGTTCAAGTCCAGTTTACATATCTAGCAATATCAGAGTTGTTAACCCATGGGAAACAGCTTTCATCAGCTAGAGAGTTGATATTATTTTTATTCCTGTAACGGTGCCATACTTTAAAAAAATCTTATGGAATCATTTCTTTCCCACATAACACCCATGTTAGTTTTAGTTTTATAATTTCATTAAATATGATTTGTATAAACATATAATGTGAAACGTAATATATGTACAGAAACGTATGTAAAACTTTTACAAGTGCAGTTTTAAAAGTGTTCATAACATCCATGTGGCCACCACCTAGGTTAAGAAATTGAACACCTTGAAAGCAACTGCTTCTAAGTGGTGACCTCCTTTGAGATGGGCAGGGAAAATGGAAAAGATTCCTACTCCACACTATGCATAATGCATAGCTTATGATTCCAGGTCAATATGGTTTAATTT